AGGTTCCAGGCTCTGAGCTGTCAGCACAGAGCCCCATGCATGGCTCAAACCCACGACCCATGTGATGATGACCTCAGCCAAAGTATGACACTTAACCGATTGAGCCACCAGGTGCCCCTAAGCTACCCAGGTGCCCTAGAAGCTCTAGTTTTATTTGTAATGTATCATCTTCTTTGAAATATCACAAAGAAAGATTTCAAAGATTTACCTGTATTAAATCTAGGTACTGGGTACATGGGTGTTTGCAACATTATTTTATATACTTAAAATTGTTGGAGTATTTCATATTTTATTTTATTTTATTTTTTAAATGTTTTATTTACTTCTAGGAGAGAGAGAGAGACAGCGTGAGCAGCGGAGGGTCAGAGAGAGAGGGAGTCACAGACTGAAACAGGCTCCAGGCTCTGAGCTGGCAGTCAGCACAGAGCCCGACGTGGGGCTCGAACCCACCAACCGCGAGATCATGACCTAAGGGAAAGTCGGACACTTAACCGACTAAGCCACCCAGGCGCCCCTGGAGTATTTCATATTTTAAAGACAAATCTATCTAATAACTATATTAAGAAATGAAAGATTCCTTTTACAAGGATCTAAAAAAACAGTATTTGGGAATAAGCGTATTAAGGAATGGACAGGCATTATCTTAAGAAAAATTGAAAACAAGAGCGATACCAGAGAACATTTGAAGAGAAGGACAAGCAATTTGTCTCGGCTAAGACTCAATATCATAAATTTCACCCCTAGTTTGACACACAAATTAATATGAAACAAATCAAAATATCGATAGGTATCCTGGGCTTTTGTTTTGTTCTGAAGTTGATAAAATAATACCAAAGTTTACGTGGACAGCAAACTTACAGAGTAGTCAGGGAAATTTTGAAAGACTAAAGATGGAACAGTAGTCCTCCTAGGTAATAATAAAACATAGTAAAAATAACATCAAAACAGTTTGGTTTTGGGAAAGGAGAAAAAAAATCAGTGACATAAAAGAATTTGAAAACAGACCCAAATACTTTCACTGGCTGGTAATTTAAGACATGAGTAAAGCTGAATCCTGATCTCACTCCCAACAGCTAAAGTAGCAATTCTACATACACTAATATCTGAACATAAAAACTGTAAGCACCCCACAGGAATTTATTTCTACCACTAGGCTCAGGAAGCAGCCATGAGAGGGGCCTGGGGGCTTAGTCGGTTGAGTGTCCGACTTCGGCTCAGGTCACGATCTCATAGCTCGTGGGTTTTTGCCCGTGACGGGCTCTGTGCTGACGGCTTGGAGCCTGGAGCCTGCTTTGGATTCTGTGTCTTTCTCTCTCTGCCCTTCCCCTGCTCACACTGTCTCTCTCTCCTTCAAAAATAAATAAACAAAAAAATTAAAAAAAAAAAAAAAAAAAAAAGAGAAGTGATACATTTGACTATATAAAAACTCAGGATTGTTTTTACAGAAAAAAAACCCAACCCTGCAGAAACCCCCAAAACTGGTAAAGATGCCACGATAATAGAACTCTTGCAAATTACAGAGGAGATGAAGAGGCAGAGAAACAAGGAAAGAACCCGCACAGATTCACAGAAGGAGAAACACAAGTGGACCATCTGTATGTGAAATGCCATGCACATGCTCACCTTTTCACTGGTGACATTCCATCTGAATGCTCCTGCCCTGATGTCCCACGGGACTGTTCTATCACCCTAAAGTCTTCACTCCAGCTGTACCTTCTGAACGAAGCCTTATGCATACCAAACAGCTAAAACCATACCTGGCATCTAGCGGGAACTTGCCAAACATTTGTGGAATTACTTGTGAATACACAAACAATGTGGGTCAAGTCAAATAGTGTCTAATACAATGATAATGCCTCATGGGATTTTTGTAAAAGAAAGAATTAAAATACATGAGCTTTAAACCTAAGGGAACTAAAATACATGGCTTTAATGAAACATCTAAGTCATGAGGGATGTGACTGGGGTTAATATGAGATAAAGTGTCGGTTGTATGGTTGTATTGATTAATTTTTAAATTCTTGTAAGATAAAACTGAATGCTAAAGTTTTTTGAGAGCTGGGTGGCTCAGTCAGTTGAGCGCCTGACTTCAGCTCAGGTCATGATCTCACAGTTCGTGAGTTCGAGACCTGTGTCGGGCTCACTGCTATTAGCCTGTCAGCGTAGAGCCTGGGGCAGATCCTCTGTACCCCTCTCTCTGCCCCTCCCCCACAAAAAATTTTAAAAGTTAAAAAAATATATAAAGTTTTTTGAAAGCTGGACATAAAGATGTGCATACCTAATGAACCATTTATAGAAAATCAAAAAACAAGCAAAACTAAGGTGTGGTGACAGAGGTCAGGACACTGGTTAGCTCTGGAGACGGAGAGCTCATGACTAGAAAGGACCATGAACAGGGCTTCTGGGATGCCGCGTGTTGGTTATAGGGGTGTGTTCACTTTGTATATTCACTGAGACACTCATGAGTTGTGCTTTTGGGCTGGGGGAGGTACATATTTTCCTTCAGTAGGTAATTGCTAAAAGAACGAAAATATCATGAATAGTTTCCAAACTGGGGGGAGGAAGTGATGGGTGATAAAATAAGAAAAAAAAAATGACTCAGACAATTCAAAGGAAAGTAATCAAAACAAGACAAAATGGAAAAGGTAGACAGGGACGCCTGGGTGGCTCAGTCAGTTAAGCGTCCAACTTCGGCTCAGGTCATGATCTCGTGGCTTGTGAGTTTGAGCCCCTCTCGGGCTCTGTGCTGACAGCTCAGAGCCTGGAACCTGCTTCAGATTCTGTGTCTCCCTCTCTGTCTGCCCCTCTCCCGCTTGTGCTCTGTCTCTCTCTGTCTCTCAAAAATAAACATTAAAAATTCTTAAAAAAAAAAAACAAGTGAACAAATAGATTATTGTAAAATAAGACAGTTGAAAATAATCAATGTGTATCAAGAATCCTAATGGATGAGAACAAATGAATGCACCAATTAGAAGGAAAAAATGTTAAACTAGATTTTTCAAAAATCCAGTTATATCTTGTTAACAAGGGACATGTTAAAAAAAGATATTCCAAGGTTGAAATTCAAGTATTGTGAAAGACACAGCAGTAAATATTAACCAAAAAAAAAAAAAAAAAAAAAGCATTAGTATCAGAAAAAAAAGACTCAAAGGTCAAAAGCATTATTAGAGGTACAGGGCTACCACATAACGATACTAAATAAATGATACTGTAGGTTTTCATTTTCAGTTTGCATTCCTAATAATATGGCCTCAAACACTGACACAATCACAAGGAGAAACACGATTCTTTAATAAATAATAGAAAACATGAACAAAAAGCCAGCAAGGGTATCAAAGGTATCAGCAGCACCATTAATAAGCTTAACCTAATGAACATGTATATAGATTATATCCAACAACCATAAAGCACACAGTCTGGGGCGCCTGGGTGGCTCAGGCGGTCAAGCATCTGACTTCGGCTCAGGTCATGATTTCGCCAGGCGCCCCTAAACATACAGTCTTTTCAAGAACGCATGGAACATTCACTCGCATTGGCACGTGCCAGGCTCTCGGACTAGGTTTGACATATTTTAAGGGACTCGTATCACACATGCTCTCTACCCAGAATGCAAATATGTTAGAAACCAACAAACTATAAAAATAATTATGGTATTGATCGCTACTTCTGAACGACTTCTGAACATTTCCAGGGCCAAAGAGAAATCCAAATAGACATTATTAGGAGCAAACTATAATAAGTATATTACATACCAACACTTAGATGACGGAGCTATAGAGGTACTTGAAGGAAATACATAACCTTGAACACTTGTATTAGTTGAGAAGAAAGGCTGGGTTACAAAGCTAAGTTTCAAACAAAGGAAGGAAACACCAAAGATAGGAACAGGGAGCTCTGACACAGGACGAACAGACAAGACAGAACCGTTTAGAGTCACTGCTAAAAACTCTGAGGAGGTGAAACCCGTAGTAAAAAGTAGCATGAGCAACATTTCCACCATAAATCTGAAACTTCAGTGCGCAAAAATTCTCAGAGGTGTTAAGAATTGATCATATTTGTCAATATGCTTAAACTATTTCCTAAGATGAACTGGTACACTTGGGTATAAATTGGGACCGAGGCGTACTTAAAAAAAGGTCCCTACCATTTATAGGCAGAAAAACCTTTTTGTTTTTTAACTTCAAAACTCAGGTGACTGAGCAGAAAAAGTGTGGTTTTTTTTTTTTTTCTTAAACCCACAGCAGAGACAGGAAACCCCACCTGGGTGCTTCGGATGCCTCAAAAGGTCACAAGTGTTGGCAGGACTGAGCACTCAGCTAGCAGGCCTGAAGGAAATGCGTTTACTTGCCCCAAATGAAGAATCGAAGTACTGCTGACAGCTCACCTTTGCACCGCGCTTCCTTCATGAAGCCCGCGGGTTTTCCCTCCCACATCCTTCAGCTAGCTACGTGGACACACGTCTTCTCACCTTTAGGATAAATAATTGGAACGGCTCCCGCTTGGACAACATGCGTACCAGCCTGTCCTGGATGCCTTGTGGATGGCTTTTTTTTTTTTTAATGTTTATTTTTGAGAGAGAGCACAAGCAGGGGAGGAGCAGGAAGGGGTGGGGCTGGGGGGACAGAGGATTCCAAGCAGGCTCTGCACTGACAACAGCAGGGCTCGAACTCACGAATCTCAAGACTGTGCCCTGAGCCGAAGTTGGCCACTCAACAGACTGAGCCCCCCAGGCGCCCCATGGATGTTCTTTTTAATCCTTGTGATGCAATGAGGTGCTACTGCTCCGGCTTCATGAAGAACAGACTAGGGAAGTAAGGCGCTCACAGGCTCGCTCTTAACCAGGTAGGGTCAAGACTCAAGACCAACCAAATCTACCCAATGTCTCCCCTCCACACGTCCTTGTGAACACAGGGGCTCCAGGGAGTCACCTACAGAGCGCGATGCGTCCAAAGCAGGCTCTGTCCACGCCCGGCCCCCTGCAGCTCATACTGAGCACCCACCTTCAGAATAACGTCCCGCAGAGCAAAATACTTCTCGGTGAGGTCTCCTGCCTCGCTCAGTGGGGCGTCGTAGTCGTAGCTGGTGGGCTGTGCTTGGAAGGGGATGTTGGCTCCTGGAAGACAAAAAGGTAGCCCCAGTTGCTACCAAGGGCCCTCCTCCCCTGGGGACAAGTTCTTTGGGATTTCTGGGCTCAGGGTTGTTGTGGGAAGAGAAAATAAAGGACACATTAATACCAATTGTCAGGTGACACAGAGGTGGCCCTGAGGAGGCAAGGTTTAGAGCAACTCGTCTCCTGCAGATGGCCCTTCACAAGCACCTTAGAGTCTCCATGGCGCTGTCCCCGCCCACTCGCTCAGCGGGAGCCCTCAGCTGGGAGGGACCCCAGCAGATGTCCCCGCCACTGAACTGGCAGAAAAGCCGAAGCCTCCACAAAATGAGGTGAGTGGCAGCCTCTGGCACGACCCACGTGTCTGACTATTAACGCTGAAGCCTGTGTTCTTTCCCAGGCCCCGGCTCTGAGGGCCGGCAGAACACACAAAGCCGGAGATGACCCCGGACATGCGTTAGCCCCGAGTCAAGTGGAACCCTGAGGCCTTGTAACGCCTGCAGTCGGAGGGGTCACGGTGTCTACTCCCGTCCCCTTCAGGAGCAGGTCAGGCCCTCACTCCCACAGCTGCTGGGAGGGCTGGCTGCTGACGGCTCTGCGCCTTCCACTCTCAGGCCTCTGTTGGGCCGCCCGGCCAAGGTTATGGCCCCCCGGGGATAGCCCATGGCCAACAACTGACCACGAGGGCTCAAACACCCAGCGCCTGGCTGTCCCAGCTCCAGAGCTCTCTCTAGAACCAGCCGAGCCACTCCAGAATTGCCTGCCTGCTCAACTTCTTCCTCTGCCCAAGGCCGCCACACACTCTCTGCTCCTGGGAACGTGTTCCATCAACTTCCTGCTGGGTAATCCCAGTCTGTTTCCCAGGGAATGAAACCCATGACAGAGACGAATAAATAATACCCACAGTGCGTGCACAGAAACTAGAAAGGTAAATGGCCTTGCCATCATTGTTCAAGGGGCATCGTCTGGACCAGTGGGGCCCACCTTGTCACAGATGAGGTTCACAGGCAGGAGACTGGGTGTCTTAGTGGGTAGTGACCCTGCACTACTACTTAGAAAACGGACCCATGCAACACGGAGAGCTTATTTGGGTTCCTAAGCAGCCCTCACCCCCCACCAGAGATTCTGAGTCAGGTCTTGGGTAGGACCTGAAGCTCAACATTTCTTTTTTTTTTTAATGTTTATTTATTCTTGAGAGAGAGACAGACAGAGCATGAGCATAGAGGCAGAGAGAGAGGGAGACACAGAATCCACAGCAGGCTCCAGGCTCCGAGTCGTCAGCACAGAGCCTGGTGTGGGGCTCGAACTCACAAACTGTGAGCTAAAGTCAGGTGCTCAACAGACTGAGCCACCCAGGCACCCTGAGCCTTGGCTCCCAGGGGATGCTGACGCTGCCATCTGTGGACTACTATGGCTCTGTGCCAGATCTTTCTCTTCTACTCCAACGAGCATTTTGCAACATAAGGGTGTGAGAATAAAGTTGCTTTAGGCTCATCTTCTAGCCGATCCAATTGTTAAGTAAACGAGGCACAAAATCTGATAGTCCATTTGTGACTTAGGAAGAATTCCTGCATCTAATCCCACAGCCCACGGGCGATGGAGCCACCTTGGGGGATCCTACTGGGGGAGGAGCTGACGGATGAGTTGGGCCGAGTCCCAGGTCATCCCCCAACACTGTGTCATTAGTGCACAAAATCTACACTTCTGAAGGACTTGGACCACTCAGGGAACTGAACTGATCCAGTCCTATTACCTTTACTGCATTTGTTATTAATCAGAGGCGGCAGCCTGCCAACGGGGCCACCTGCCTGTGGGGATCTGCACATTAAAGCACATCCTTTGCTGCAAGATGCAAAGGAAAACAAAACCACATCCCTTGTTGCAAGGAGCTCCTCTCCTTTGCGGGCCCTCCTCCACTTCTAATGTGGCAGTCACCTCGCCCCCCCCCCCATCTATATGAGTGGCACACCAGCTGCCTGCCCCTAAGTAGGTGTGGCCTCTCTTGCACAGCTGAGCCCAATCAGTGGTCACCAAGTTGAACTGAACAAATGTAACTCCCAGACACAAAATTATAAGCCAAGGGAAGCCGGGTAGGGAAGATGGCCAGTGGGCTAAAGGATGGACCGAAAAACAAAGTCTTTGGTTAACGTTCATAGCAACGTTATTTATAATGGCCGGAATGTGGACACAACTCAAATATCTATCAATGTGACATCTGGATGTTGTATATCCGTGCAACAGAATATTATTCATCAGTAAAACAACTAAAGTTCTGATCCTACAACAGGGATGGACATCAAAAAGAGGACACTAAATGGCAGGACTGAAACACAAAGTAGACCACATACTGCATGATTCTGTTTATAAGCAATGCCCAGAACAGGCAAAATCACAACGAGAGAGTCTCAATTAGTGGCTGCCAAGGGCTGGGAGGAGAGGGAGTGGGGAGTTTTCCCAGCAACGGGCTTCTTTCTGGGGGAGTGAAAATGTTTTAGAATTAGATGGTTGAGGGGTGCCTGGGTGGCTCAGTCCGTTGAGCACCTGACTTCAGCTCAGGTCATGATCTCACGGTTTGTGAGTTCAAGTCCCGCATCGGGCTCTGTGCTGACAGCTCAGAGCCTGGAGCCTGCTTTGGATTCTGTGTCTCCCTCTCTCTGCCCCTCCCTCACCTGTGCTCTCTCTCAAAAAAAAAAAAAAAAAAATTAAATAAACATTTAAAAAATTAAAAAAAAGAATTATATAGTGGTAATGATTATGCAACTTTGTGATATGCTAAATACCACTATACTGTGCACTTTAGTACTTTCTTTTTTTTTTTTTTAATTTTTTTAATGTTTTATTTATTTCTAGGAGAGAGATAGAGAGCGTGAGCAGGGGAGGGTCAGAGAGAGAGGGAGTCACAGACTCTGAAACAGGCTCCAGGCTCTGAGCTGGCAGTCAGCACAGAGCCCGATGCGGGGCTCGAACCCACGAACCGCGAGATCATGACCTAAGTGAAAGTCGGACGCTTAACCGACTAAGCCACCCAGGCGCCCCTATACTGTGCACTTTAAAATTGTTATTTCTGTGGTACGTGAATTATATCTCAACAAAACAAAATGTAAGAAGAAAATAGATCATAGCAGAATACGTGAACAAGTAAGCTATAGCCAGAGACTATGGGGCCTGCCCACGTACCCTGGTTTAAAACAGTAAGGTTTCTGTGGGGTGCCTGGGTGGCTCAGCCAGTTAAGCATCCGACTTAGGCTCAGGTCATGATCTCACGGCTTGTGAGTTCGAGCCCCGGTATTGAGCTCTGTGCTGTCAGCTTGGGGCCTGAAGCCTGCTTCAGATTCTGTGTCTCTCTCTCTGCCCCTTCCCTGCTCGTTCCCTGTCTGTCTTTCTCAACAATAAATAAACTTTAAAAAATGTTTTTTCTTTAAAACAATAGATTTCTGGGACACCTGTCTGGCTTGGTCTGACTAGCATGCGACTCTTGATCTTGGGGTTGTGAGTTGGAGCCCCATGCTGGGTGTAGAGATTACTTAAAAAAAAATAAAGTAGGGGCACCTGGGTGGCTCAGTCGGTTAAGTGTCCAACTTCAGCTCAGGTCATGATCTCACGGTTCGTGGGTTCAGGCCCTGCGTCGGGCTCTGTGCTGACAGCTAGCTCAGAGCCTGGAGCCTGTTTCAAAAATTCTGTGTCTCCCTCTCTCTCTGACCCTCCCCTGTTTGCGCGCTCTCTCAGAAATAAATAAAAAAAAAAAACATTAAAAAAAATTAAAGTAAGCTTTAAAAAAAATACATAAACAATAGGGTTTCTAAGAGAACAGTCCTATTCCTCAAGAAAAATTAATGATTTCAAAAATTACATAGGCAGGTTTTATATATAAGGAAATTTCTATATATTAGAAGATAAAAATTGTCCGGAGGCACTCCCTACCCCCAAATCAAGCACCAGAAACATGCGAGCATAAGCTTCCATAAACACATTAAGTTGCTCTTACCATTCCAATAAGCAAAATTGGTCCCACCTACAAACATGTACCTACAAGAAACAAGAGAACAGACATACTTGACTATGAGCCCATAGCTATGGAGGATGCCCTCCCTTCCAGAAATTATCACTCACAAGTTCACATTCGCCCCACGGGCAAGCATATCGTGGAGGGAGGAAGCCACCACTTCAGTCTTCACTCTTGAGTGAGGTTGGCCCCAGTGGTCTAACCATCCAGTGTAGAATTCGGAATTCACCTAAAAAGGGAAACGGACAGGGAGCTTAGGAGGGACTCATGACCTTCAAACGCTGGCACCTCCCTATAGCTATGGCCCTATGTACCCCACCGGTGGATGGGTGGAGGGTTGCGTACATGCACTGCTTACCCCAGCGCTGGGGGCCCAATGCGGGTTACTGCCCAAACTCAGTTTTTAGGTGCCAATAACACACGTATTCCTGAAAAGTTGTATCTGCAACAAAATTTTGTTAGCCACCCCCCAGTTTAAACAAGGCAGGGAATTTTGTTGGGCAAAAGGAATCAGACGGCAAAAGTTTCTCATCAAATTATCAGATCTAAGTCCACCCGCCGTGTCAATCCGGATCTTCAGATCTCGGGTGACTTGGCGTGGGGTGGACGTGTCCAGGCACGCTGCAGAGCGAGCCCCAGGCGCTTCAGGTCTCCCTCAAGCCTCACCCTGCCGCGCCCTTCATTTAGAAAAGGGAAAGGAAACCCGGATGTGTTCCTGGGCCTGCCTGGGTCATGGTCTGTGGACACAGGGTCTGCACCGCTCACCGGGCAGAGGCCGTGTTCAGAAAGGGCCGAGCATGCAGGGGGCGAGGTGGGCGGGAAGCCTGGCCTGCTGCAGAGAAGGCATGGGACCTCAGCCCTCCAAGGACGCCCAGAAACAGCAGTGACAGCAATGGAGGAGGGAGGAGCCAAGGGACTGCGCGGAGGCGCCCCCATGGCAGGCCAGAACCCCCCAAAGCCACGGTGAGCTCACCCTGCGGTGCCGGAGATGCAGACGCGCAGCCCCACGCAGCCTCACGTCTGACCTGCACCCCCAAGTGACTCACGCACGTTAAAGACGGGGCCGCTCTGTCCCGAGGAGCTCTCGAGAAACGCAGACCTGAACTTAGGTGCTGGCCCCGTCCCTCGCCGGCGAAGCGGCGTGTTCTTGGGGCCTCAGTGAACACGGGGGAAAATAACACCCCCCACGAGGGCCACCATCAGGCAAGAGGGGGAGGAAGCACACAAGAGCACAGAGCCCGACTCACGGCAGCTGTCCCCACTGCGTTCCACCCCGTGGGGGCACCTGCTGTCACTACGCCCCTCAGTCCCATCGGCCACTGACCCCACAGCCCAAAAAAGCAAGGACCTACCTCTTTAGCTGGTGCACCTCGCCTCAACAACCCACAGCTCACCCCCAGTGCTTACCAATGGCCCTCGGGGCTCGCTCTTTCTCTGGACCTGGAAAGCTGCGGTGATGTTGGCATCTGAAAGTTACGAGAAGAAAGGTCAGTCACAGGAATAAGGTAAGTAAAAAGAGTACTTCATAGACCCTCAGCCTGAGGCCCTGCCCTGGGCCACCTACGCGTGGGCCTGGAACACCCCCCGGCCAGCTATAGGCTGGACTCAGTGTGAAGGTCCATCTGAAGGATGCGTGGGGACCACAGAACCACGTCTTCTTAGAGCAGGTCCCTATGGCCTTTCTCTCAGGAGACCAGATCACAAGCTTGTCTTCTCCATCCGGGTTTCCCCATGGCCTGGGAACATGTTTTGTGTCCTTCTCTCTCCACGTGGACATCTGGTTGACCTAGATGCTCCCTGAGGCATGGGTCTTGCTTTAAAGATGCTTCCTTACAGCCTCCATGGCACCACACACACAAATCTGCATGCGCGCGCACACACACACACACACATATCAGTGCCACTGATATTTGCCAAGTCATTAATAAATCAAAGGGATGGATGTGGTCTAATAAGTTTTATTATGTCTGAGTAATGGCATACACTCTGAATTTGAATTTGTACGTCATCAGCCATTCCAGGCCGCTTGCTCTTAAGTTTTCCTTGTAAAATATTCCATCAAGGTGCCCACATGTGGGCTTGCTCCCCATGTCTTCTTTCCCCTCCACAAGGAACGAACCTCTCCCCGCAGAGGCAGTGGGCTGCCTTCCTTCAGTGAGCAGACAAGCATGAATAGTATTTCTCTAACCACGGCAGGGGATACCCCGGCCCCAAACTTCATGATCCACTTCTCACAGCAGGTACCCAGCGCGGGAATGACAGCAGCCAGCACCTCTGAATAACCCCTTGCTCTGTGTGAGGCCAGGCTTCAGGAGAGGACACGCTGGTCGACAGTGGTATCTCGTTTACTTTACGGCTGTAAATGTGTCACTATTAAGTATCAGGTGGCATTCAGATCTTCAGTTCTGTTCTCATGAGCCTCGCTCTGTGACCTGGCCCCGGGCGCTGCCCGGCCCACACACAGGAACGAGGCAGCCTCAAGCCCCACCCACCCCACATACACTGGCCTCACATTGGGCTGTCCTTCAACCCACAGACGGAGCCACTGTGCTCTCACCCCACGTGCACATCAGGCTTACAACAAGGTCAGAACGACCTTCAGATTTTCTTTCCCATCAAAAGGGCGCCGTGCCTTTTCATCGCCATGATGGGAAGTGTGCCGGGCCAGGAGGAAAGCAATGCCACTTCCTGTGTGGCTTTTTGTAGCCGAGTTATTTTATCACCAGACACTCTGAGCAGTGCATCATGTTTCTAGAAACACTCCATTCACTCAAAACCAGTTCTGTTCTTTGCTAATGGAAAAGCAGCTCTTTAAAAATGCAACTTCAGGGGCACCTGGGGGGCTCAGACGGTTGAATGTTTGATTCTGGTTTGGCTCAGGTCATGGTCTCTTGGTCTGTGGGACTGAGCTCTGCGTCGGGCTCTGCACTGACAGCATACAGCCTGCTTAGGATTCTCTCTCTCTCTCTCTCTCTCTCTCTCTCTGCCCCTCCCCTGCTGGGGCTCGCTCTCTCAAAATAAATAAATAAACTTTAACAAATTATTTTAAAAAATAAGTAAATAAGAATGCTACGTCAGTCTTCCATACGTCCTTCTCAAGAGAAAGCAGGTGCTGGATGCGCAATGTGAGCAGAACTTCTCACACCTCGGTTGGGAAGGCTGTGGGGTCTTTATGCTACTTGAAGAGCAGGTCTTTTTTGGGAGGGCGGAGAGAGGAAGATAACATTTACTTTGAAATAATCTCAACCTTATAGAAGAGTTGTGAGAAGAGAACAAAGAACTCATATTCTCAAAGGACCAAGATTCCCCAATTGTTAACACTTTGCCATATTTTTTTTATCAGTTTCTCTCTTTCTCTCTCAATACAGTTGTTTTCTGAACCATTTGTGAATAAGTTGCAGATATGATGGCCCTTTACCCCTAAATACTTCAGGGAACATTCCCTTAGAGCAAGGGCATTCTTTAAGTAAACACGGCTATTAAAAAAAAAAAAAAACTGGGAGATTAACACGGATACAGTCCTATTATCTAATCTACAGATTTGATTCAAAAAAATGCAACTGTCCAGGAACGTCCTTCTTAGCATCAAGAGACAAGGTGCAGGCAAGTCCAGCCCAGTCCCCCACCCCCTCCACGGCCTGCGGAGTCCTGTCCTTTACGACAGCTGCTCTCCTAATGCTTAACGCCGCTGGGAGCCTGCTGGCCACACTGGCCGCCCCCAGCTCTAGCGGTCACCGGGCCTCTGCGGCGGCCCCGACGGGTACGGGAAGGCCATTCATGTGGCATCTCCCCAACCACCTGCAGGCCCTCGAGGTTCACAGTGCTGATTCCCCAGAAAGGTCTCTGCATTCCAGGACCACCCACCCCTAGCGGATCTGCGGTGCAGGCCCAAGGCCGCGGCCTCAGTGCACAGCTCCCCGCAGCCGCCCTCAGAGACTCAGGGCCGCAGGCCAGCTCACTGGCACTGAAAACCCAGCTCTTGCCCCAAAGGCCCAGTCAGCTGAAATCAAATAATGTGCGCAACGGACGGGTGCCTTGTGCTGCGCTCCCTTCTACCTGTGAGGGGAAGCCTGAGAAATCTCATGCAGGGTACCCACTGCCACCGGAGCTCGCTGGCCAAGCCTGCGTGGCCTTGGCGGGGTTTTCTGCGACTCCAAACACCAACCTGGACCGAAGTCAACGGTGGCATAGACGCCCTGCAGCGCCCCGCACTGAAGGAACTTCTCGTGCGCCCCGTCGGTGGTGAACAGAAGCACGTCACTGCCCAGGTAGTAGTGGAAGCGCCTCTGCAGGAACCGCAGGTAGTCGTAGTCACAGGCGAAGTAGCTGCCGTACTCGTTCTCGACCTACAAATGAGGAAAGAGGCAGGATGTGGTGGGGGGGAGAGTCAGGAGACCCCGATACAGTCGTTCTAACGCAGGCTTTTGTTTGCAGAAAGCACCCGAGCACCAAAAATATGTCCTACACTCCATCCTCCACACCCATTCTGCAGAGGGCAACTCAGCACGAAAACTTACCTTCTCCTACCTCCCATGCCACCAAAAGAAGAGAAACAAACACCACCATATCTGTGTTTGGATCGCAGGGCTACTCGACCCTAGACTAGGTAACAGATACTTTCAATGGGACATAAATGGTAACTTCCCATGGTAGAAATATTGGAAAATGTGGAGAAATGCGAAGAAAATAGAAAAATCATGTGTTAAGTCCATTACTCCGAGATAGCCGCTGTAAGCCTTCTGGCTCAGCCTTCCAGATTCACGCACACGCACACGCACACCCTAGATATACAAACTAACACACAGTGACTGTGCTCTGTTGGTAAAGCTGGTATCATGTTACGTGCACCAGGCATAACACTGGCTCTTCACCTTCCACACACTATGCAAAACGTCCATGGCAGCAACGAGGGCAAATGCCGGGTACGGACGTACCATCGTTTTCTTGACCTACCGCCAGACATTCAGGGCCTTTCTCATTTTTGTCCTCAGTAACCAGCGTTCAGTCTGTGTTCAACAGCGTCAGTGGTTTTCAACTAGTCATTTTGCCCCCAGAGAACATTTCACAAGGTCTGCAGATACTCTGGGTTGTCACATCTGGAGGCAGAGTGTGTGTGGCCGGGCCCCCAGTGGGTGGGGGCCAAGAGTCGCTACTTACCAGCCTCTACAACAAATTGCCACAACAACCCTCCACTCAGGGCAGTGGCGATTGTGCCGAGGGTGGGGGGTAGGAAATCCCCATCGAGACAGCATTACCCAGGAAGGTAAAAATGGATTCTTATAGAAGAACATCTTACTCTTTTTTATATGTAAAGCACAGATATATATACACTTCTACAGTAGCTCAGACGTATTAAAATTTCAAGGGCAGGCAATTAGAAAAAAAATGTCTACAGAGGCGCCTGGATGGCTCAGTTGGTCAAGTGTCCTACTTCAGCTCAAGTCATGATATCATGGTCTGTGGGTTCAAGCCCCATGTCGGGCTCTGTGCTGACAGCTCAGGGCCTAGAGCCTTTTTTGGATTCAGAGTCTCACTCTCTCTTTGACCTTCCCCTGCTCATGCTCTCACTCTTAAAAATAAGTAAGACATTAAAAAATTTTAACTAAAAAATGTCTAAAGAGGCTCTTTAGGGGCAACCATGAAAAAAAAGTTAAGAAACATTGCTCTAAAGTGATAAAATGAATGACCTTCAGCTTCACCCAATATATAAAAGAATCTCAGAGGTATAACACTGAGTGAAAGAAGCAACTCATTGAGAAATACAGACAGTATAACTCCCCACACAGAAAATTCAAAACAGTCACAGCCAAACCATAAAATCTGGGTACGTACATAGGTGGTAAAAATATAAAGAAAACCAAGAGTCCAATGGCCACGAAGGTCAGGACCGTGGGAAGGAGCGCGGTGGTCACCAACACTGGACGCTTCTTAGGTCCTGGCCACGTGCTGTTTCCCAGCTACGTGGAGGTTATGCAGGGGCCCTCCTCAAGGCTTCACTATGCTGCATATTCGTGTGATCGTTCACGATTGTCCAAAAATGAAAAAGATAGCTGACCATCGAAGTGCAATATGCACATAATGCAAAATAAATGTGTCTGATCCTGGGAGTGCACAGTCATTAAAAAGAAGCACAGGACACTGTGAAGCCCTAGGAAAGAGGTGCCCAGCCTGATGGGGGCCCAGACAGATGGAAGGAGGCTTCCTGGAGGGGTGCCCAAGGCAGCGCTGGCGGCTTGCGTTCCTGCAAGGGGCGGCCGCTTTGCTGAGTGCCCAGTGGCCCCGGGCAGTCTGGGAGTAGGCGCGGGCCGGTGAGGGATGTCGATGAACTAAGCACCACTGTCATGCTCACACAGTACTGCTTCCCAAACAGTGTCATGAGTGCTTGTTTCCCAGAGAGAGGAGCCCTTGGATGAAACATTCATGTTACAGCTTCAAAAAGCAAAGCATTCTGGGGGCGCCTGGGCAGCTCGGTCTGTTAAGCATCAGACTTCAGCGCAGGTTATGATCTCACAGTCAGTGAGTTCGAGCCCCGTGTCGGGCTCTGTGCTGACAGCTCGGAGCCTGGAGCCTGTTTGATTCTGTGTCTCTCTCTCTGCCCCTCCCCTCTTGTGCTCTGTTTCTCTCTGTCTCTCAAAAATAGATAAATGTCTTAAACAAAGCATTCTGTAGCGAGTTCGCCCTGCACAAGAGCTTCACTGGTCATGAAGTCACCTTGAAAGAGGAGGTGTTTGCCAGGCAGAGCGGAAAGCTCTCTGGGGCAACTGCCCTGACCCTCTGATTAGTCCCACAGGCGTCCCATTGGAAGTAATTGAGAGCAAGGCTAAGGGAAGCTTTGCAAATACTGGCAAGATACTTTCCTCCTCATTTTCTACCCCTCCACCCGCCTCTTTGAATAAGATCTACTTTTTAAACTTTTTAGGATTTATTGATTTTTGAGAGAGAGAGAGACACACACAGAGTGAGCAGGGGAGGGTCAGAGAGAGAAAGAGAGAGAGACAGAATCCGAAACAGGCTCCAGGCTCTGAGCATTCAGCACAGAACCCGACGCAGGGCTCGAACCCACAATCCGTGAGATCATGACCTGAGCCGAAGTCAGACGCTCAACCAACTGAGCCACCCAGGTGCCCCTAATAAGATCTACTTAAATGGCTCTGTTTTCCGTCATCATCGTCATCTTCAGCCTCAGCTCTAGCAATGAAGTGCTTTGCCACACTGTCCCTTTCTGCCCACCCCCACAGCACCCCAACCCAAAGCTCATTTAGGTTCCCTTAGTTTTTCAAGTTGTATTCACCCGGTATCATGATTGTACCTTAAAATACACAGGTACGCCCTAAATGCACACACACAATCTGGTTAGGTTGTTGGAAAGAAAAAGAGGTCCGCGTCTGCAAGGCGGCTCAGAGCTGTGGCCTCGGGCAGGGGCATCAGAGGCCCCGCCGTCCACGTGAAAGCGTCCCTTCTGCCATTTCTTGTCCTGGTGAGGGGCAGAGGGGGGCCGTTAGCAGGACTGACACGTGGGTAGGGCTCTGCGCGATACAGGATACCCAGTAAGTACCCAGCATGCTAGCGACTCAGAGCACCGCCAACCTCTAGGCTCAGGTCAGCCGGAGAGACCGAGCTGGCATGCAGCGGGGGAGCGAGAGGGGAAGCACGCACACAGACGAGGGCTCGAGAGACTCCCTGGAAGTCACAGTGAGGCTCGGAGGAACGCTGGATTCTTCTAGAGCAAGGGGTGAGTCGACTTTTTCAGTGAAGGGCCACGGTGTAAGGATCTCAGGCTGTGTGGCCGCCTGTCCCTGTGCGCTCTGAACGCTGCTCCTGGTACAAAAGCAGCCACGGGCCACATCAGGAGCTGGGCGCCAACGTGCCTTTATCTGTGAAAATGGGCCATCGGGGGTCCTTGTTCCAGAGTCCGGGGCTCACCCTGTCAGCTCAGGGCGCCCGGGGGGCTCAGTCAGTTGAGCGTCCGGCTTTGGCTCAGGTCACGATCTCACGGTTCATGGGTTCAAGCCCCACATCGGGCTCTGTGCTGACAGCTCAGAGCCTGGAGCCTGCTTCAGATTCTGTGTCTCCCTCTCTCTCTGACCCTCCCCTGCTCACGCTGTCTGTCTGTCTCTCTCTCTCAAAAATAAATAAAACATTAAAAAAAACAGAAATAAATAAATCATAAAAAAATTTTTTTAAAAAGAAAAAAGAAACTGGCCACACAGTCTACACTGACTCTAAAAAGAAAAATTTTGTAATGCATGGAAAAAAAAAATCAAGGAAATCTCCCCCAAAACGTAAGAGACTCGCTTCCGGCTCCTAACGCCTAAGTGACAATTCTGGTTTTTCTGTTTCCGTACGTTCTTCTATTCGTCCCCGCGCTCACTTGTTTATTTACTAATCAAGGGGCAAAGGGACTATGGAGCTCGAGCAGTAGGAGGTGTGAAGGGCAGAGGCAGAGGAGGAGGGGCTGAGTCCCCTGGCGGGACCCACAGTCAAGTTCAGGTCATCCAAGGCTGCCAGGGATACACACCAGAAATGCCCCGAGTGCAGCCGATTTTGCTCTCCTCTACGGAATTCACATCTGATTACGCTCCCTGTGGCATTTCAACAACCAAAAGGGACAGAAAAGTTGTGAGAGGAGCTTGAAAGTGACTTGGAAAGTAGCGGAGATAAAGAAAAGATGAAGGAAATGAAGGAAAACCTGAGATTAAGAGAAAGGAAGGTGACCCAGCCGCAGGAAGACACACTCCACTTGCAGCCTTGACATGTTCATAGGGGAAATGGGCTCCTTTAGGCTTAAGCAGTCCGGCCTCAAGCCGGGGAGAGGGGCCGTCAGCGCTACTCGGACGTCCCTCTGTCCCTCTGGGAGCAGCGAGCCGGCCTCTCTCCACCAGGCAGGGTCCGAATGGCCACTCTGGCCAGGTCAGCCTTCTCATCGCTTCATTTGACCTCCCCGTGAAGGGCAGGAGAGGGCCATGCCCCCTGCCCCCAGGGACCGTTTCTACCGCTGCCCACAGTGTTGGCCGTAAGAAGGAAATCTTGCCCACGTTCTCCGGGGAGTGCCACACTGCACCCCCTTCCAGTTTCAGGGGGCAGCCGGTTTTACATTTATTCCTTGGCAAATGACTAATAAGCATGGTTTTATGTGTTTTTTTTTTTTTTTAAAGTTTACTTATTTATTGAGAGAGAGAGAACATGAGCAGGGCAGGGACGGGGGGGGGCGGTGACGGAATCTGTCAGCACGGAGCCTGATGCGGGGCTTGAACTCACGCACCATGAGATGGTGCCCTGATCTGAAATCGAGAGACGGACGCTTAACCGACTGAGCCGCCCAGGCGCCCCAGTTTTACGTTTTACCTACGTGATGCTGCAAACATCACAAATTGTTGCAGGTCAAGCGCCCCAATTTTCACATGGAAAATACCTGGAACCTGCTATGCCCCCGCCATTTGCCAGGGTGTGCAGAGCAGAGGACACCCGGAAGAAGGGACGTAAGGGCAGGAAGCGGGACAGAAAACATAATGGCCTCAATCCGCCACCTCCTCCTTCCGCGCCGGCCTGAACTGACTGCCTGTGCGGGGCAGACGCCAAGGCGTCTGAGTCCGTGTTGCATCCCCGCGGCCACAGGCCGTGTGGCACCCGGGACACAGGCCACCGGGCCAGTGGTCCTGTTCTGCCCCTGCCCGCTGGGTGACCTCGGCCAGGCCACTTAACCTCTTTGAAGTTCTTCTCTTCAAAGAGGCTGGGATAACTGGATGATGTCTGCCGGGCGGTCAGCTCAGAGTCTGGTCCACGGCCGCCCCCCAAACCGGTAACGCCTCCCCGAAACGTAACTTGTATAAAATCACCAGCTGCGGCGTCGCCTTGTAAGGAAACAGACCAGTGAGGCTCCCCTCTGCCTCACTCCCGCGTACAAGGTGGACGGCTGAAAGCCCGCCCGCCCCGCGCCCGGCCAGGCTCGGCGGTGAGGTTACCTGCACGGTTATAATGGGCCCTCCGTTCTGATACAGGAGAGGCTTCATCCTGGGCAGAAGGACTCCCAGCCACTTGTCCACGGCTTCAAGGTAATCTGGAGAAGAAGGCGGGTTTAACGCCATTCCATACCCCTTAGTGCGAACAGACACACCGCAGCCCCCTCGCCCTAGAGCTCACAGCCCAGATCGGGATGTGAGGGACCTGACGACGACCTGAAAGGGGGTGGCTGCATCACTAAAGGTCTGATGAAAGTTGTCCCGCCCTTGCCCATCTCCTCGGGGGATTCTGTCCCCGCCATGGGGGCACCAAGCCTGGAGCGCAGGAGGCGTAAGCCCTCTTTGTTGAATGAAGAAAAGAGTGCCTGAATGTATGTCTGTCTCTCTCTGTCACCCTATGTGGGTTTTTTCTTCTTTTTTTTCATTTTTAATGTTTATTTTTAGACAGAGAGAGAGAGAAAAAAAGAGCATGAGCAGGGGAGGAGCAGACAGAGAGGGAGACACAGAATTTGAAGCAGGTTCCAGGCTCCAGGCTCTGAGCTGTCAGCAAATAGCCCGATGTGGGGCTCGAACTCACAAACTGTGAGATCATGACCTGAGCCGAAGTTGGATGCTGAACCGACTGAGCCACGCAGGTGCACCTTTTTTTCTTTTTAAAATTAAGCCTTCATAAATTATATATTTACATTGGCAAACGGGGATAATAGAGCACAGTCTTTGTAAAGAAGCCATAAGGATAAAATAATACAGGTGAAAACATGAATAATGTGCTAAGCGTGCAAAACGGAAGGGTAACGCACTGAGAAGGATGTACGCATAGAGCAGAGTACACCAGCCTTCTGCGCAGTAAATCTAATCAGTGTTAGCTGCTCTTAGGATCAGCTCTAAGACCAGCATCACCAAGGGAAACTGAAGTCTTCAGGAAGCAGAAGTGCAGCTAATGGGACCTTCTGCCTGATCAGGGTTTACAGCTAAAATAATTTCTAGTTGTTTAAAAAGGCCACAAAAAGACTATCACATACAGATCCCTCTGTAAAGGCAGACAAATGAACTGTCGTTTGATTAGCCAGATACTATCACTGGGCATGTACTTTTTGAGAAAGTAGGAAGAGAAAGCATGAAAGTCAGTTGGTCAACCGCAAACAGGGCCCAGTGCCAGGTTCAAAGTTACCAGTTTATCAGCAAGATCTGGTCAAACGGTTCAACAGAGCCTTACTTCCTACACATTCAGAGTCTGCAGTGGACAGCAACTAGCACTCCCACTCACACCAAGCCTTCAAAAGTGCTTGTGCAGGGGCGCCCGGGGGGCTCAGGCGGTGAAGTGTCTGACTTCGGCTCAGGTCAGGATCTCAGGGTTCGTGGGTTCGAGCCCTGCGTCGGGCTCTGTGCTGACAGCTTGGAGCCTGAAGCCTGCTTCAGATTCTCTGCCCCTCTCTCTGCCCCTCCCCGCTCATGTTCTGTCTCTCTATATATCAAAAATAAATTTAAAAAACAATTTAAAAAAAAGCATGTGTGCAGAAGAAACCCAGCCTTCAAAATACCTGCTGCTTCTGATATAAGATGTCTAACAACATCATAATTCTCTCAGGACATATGTACAACTTACCTGGATCGGAGGAGCGGAGGATAATCGATTCTTTTCCTAACAGCCAAGCGGGTAAGCCTCCCTAGGATGGGGGGTGGGGCAAAAGAAGAGAGAAGCCATTATAAGGTCTCACGGGAGACAGAAGCCACTCTTAGCAGTGAGAGGAGAAAAGAGGAGCCCCACGGAAGAAGGGGTGTTTGAGCTGGGCTTTCTGGTTTAGAACTTTCAGGGACAGTAGTAATTATAACTCACTTTTACTAGGAAGATGACATCACGTGAATGCAGTGTTTGGAGAATCAAAGTCTTTCTATAGATTATTCCACTTAATTTTACGACAACCTTGTGAGGTAACTGATGGGGAAACTGAGTTCTGTGAGCACCGAGAGGATGGCACATGCCTTCTGACCTCACCTGTTTGTCTCCGCCTAGCCACCTCCTGAGGTACAAGACCCCTGTGCTGGCTACAGTCACAGACTCAGTGTTATCCGGAATGGCTGACTTATTTAAACTTTTTTCACTCACTTTCCCCCAGATCTCCACCAGCCCACCCGCCCCTGTCACGCGCGCTGGCCGGGCCGGGTCAGGTCTGGCCACACTCACCATGTCCCACTCCGCACAGATGTAGGGTCCGGGCCTCAGGATCACCAGGAGTCCCAGCTCGTGGGCCAGCTTGATAAAATATTCCACGTCATGTTCCCCCGAGAACTGGTACTGTTCTGGCTGGGGCTCGTGAAAGTTCCAGGGAATGTACCTGCCAACACACACACGGCCCCTTCCTGGAAACAGCTCAGCAATTCCCAAGCTGTCCCATGTGAATTTCTCTTCCTGTGGAAGGCTTAGAGAAAATGAAAATATCTATGCTAAGGTATAGAGGTACATTTATTTTTTGAAAATGCTTTTTAATAAAAGTAAAAATTTAGAAAACCCCTTCAAGGCTAGGAAACCAACGCAAAAATGAACTATTGGGACATCATCAAAATAAAACGCTTCTGCACAGCGAAGGAAACAATCAGCAAAACTAAAAGGCAACCGACAAAATGGGAGAAGATATTTGCAAACAACATGTCAGATAAAGGGTTAGTATCCAAAATCTATTGAGAACTCATCAAACTGAAGACCCAAAAAACAATTAATCCAGTGAAGAAACGGGCAAAAGACATGAATAGACACTTCTCCAAAGAAGACATCCAGATGGCCAACAGACACATGAAAAAATGCTCAGCATCCCTCCTCATCAGGGAAAAACAGATCAAAACCACACTGAGATTCCACCTGACACCGGTCAGAATGGCTAACGTTAGCAACCCAGGCAACAACAGATGTTGGCCAGGATACAGAGAAAGAGGAACTCTTTTGCACAGCTGGTGGGAATGCAAACTGGTGCAGCCGCTCTGGAAAGCAGTGTGTAGGTTCCTCAAAAAATTAAAAATAGAACTCCCCTACGACCCAGCAATTGCACTACTACGTATTTATTCAAGGGATACAGATGTGTTGTTTTGAAGGGGAACATGCACCCCAATGTTTATGGCAGTGCAATCAACAAGAGCCAAGGTATGGAAAGAGCCCTAATGTCCATCGACGGATAAATGGATAAAGAAGATGTGGTGTGTGTACACACACACACACAATGAAGTATTACTCAGCAATCAAAAAGAATGAAATCTTGCCATTTGCAACTATGTGGATGGAATTAGAGGGTATTATGCTAAGCGAAATCAGTCAGAGAAAGACACATATCATATGGCTTCACTCATATGAAAACTTTAAAATACAAAGCAGATGGGGGAGCCTGGGTGGCTCAGTCGGTTAAACGTCTGACTTTGTCTCCGGTCATGATCTCAGAGTTTGTGGGTTCAAGTCCCGTGTTGGGCTCTGTGCTGACAGCTCAGAGCCTGGAGCCTGCTTTGGATTCTGTGTCTCCCTCTCTCTCTCTGCCCCTGCTCTGTCTCTCAAAAATAAATAAATGTAAAACAAAATTTTTTTTAAAGAATCAAAGCAGATGAACAGAGGGAAGGGAAACAAAAATAATATAAAATCAGGGAGGGGGACAAAACATAAGAGACTCAAATATGGAGAACAAACAGAGGGTTACGGAAGGGGTTGTGGGAGGGGGATGGGCTACATGGGGGAGGGGCATTAAGGAATCTACTCCTGAAATCACTGTTCCAAATGCTAACTAACTTGGATGTAATTTAAAAAATAAATTATTAATTAAAAAAAAAAAACCTCACCTCTAACCCGTGTCCTCCTGCAAAAGATTTTGTCAGGAGCAGCACGCAGGAAGTGACAAAAACTTCTCCCAGTTCCCCTGGGGAACTACAGCCTACATGCCTACAGCATGGGACACAAGTGGAAATATGGCGCCATCCGCTGCCTTTGCAAAGGTCTCTTGGATGACCCCTGGCTTATGGCCTTTACCCACAATCCCATGGCTTTGGGGTTCAGTCTCCTGGAGCTTAAGTGTGAAGCTGTAGGTAGGAAGGTGCCCCAGGGCTCTGCCTCTGCATCTTCTCACCCCTTATCTTGAAGAGGCTATCAGCAATCTTCCTCAGTGGGGCGAAAACCAGAGAAGTCAGCCTCCCCAACTTTTCTCCCCATTTAGTCACCTTGCGACAGCAGCAGAGATGAGGAGAGATAATCTCTAACCAGCAGAACCACAAAGAAGAACTGGATTTCAGGAATCTACCTAACGTGGCTTCGTCCCCCCCAAACTGAGAGAAGTTGAGGCAGCCTACAGATACCGCCACCTTCAAATTCTAGGGAGACCTCTGGCCAAATGCAGGCGTTTGGGTGGACTGCAGTTTCACGAGCCACAAACGGGAACGAGGGGATGGACTGCTTTGTGTAAAGCGCCCCGCATGCAGTAAACACTCACACCTTCTAAAGCTGATCCTCATTTTTTTTTTAAGGTTTTATTTATTTCTAGGAGAGAGAGAGAGAGAGACAGCGTGAGCAGGGGAGGGTCAGAGAGAGAGGGAGTCACAGACTGAAACAGGCTCCAGGCTCTGAGCTGGCAGTCAGCACAGAGCCCGACGTGGGGCTCGAACCCACGAACTGCGAGATCATGACCTAAGCAAAAGTCGGACGCTTAACCGACTAAGCCACCCAGGCGCCCCTAGCTGATCCTCATTTTATGACTTCCATTGACAAGGTCAAGGTCGGAAGAGGTGGCTAATTATCTGAAGAAGGGCCAGTGGAGCTCAGGACAAGCCCCTCCCAGAACACCAGATGCTGCTGCTTCCCGGGCCCAGCAACGAAACCGCTAGCTGCTGGGAGACATGTGGCTGGCGGCACCCTCCAGGGCCGGGTGCCCAGGCCCCAGTGACAGCCCGGCGCCCTGCTACTCACGTCTGGATGGCATTCAGCCCCGCCATGCGCATCTTCAGGAGCCGGTCCTTCCAGTAGAAGCGGGGCACGCGGGAGTAGTGGATGCTTCCCGAGACGTAGCGGAAGGGCTTCCCGTCCTTGAGGAAGCGGTTGTGGCTGTAGTCGATCTGGAACGTCCTCTGGGAGGCATTCTACAGAGCAAGGAGGGGACCGTGTGAGAACGTCCACCTTCCCCACTTCGGCCCGTGGCCTCCTGCCTGTTTCATCTGTGGAATCTGCTGGTACAGGCAGTGCCTGGCTTCTGGCTATAAAGCGAACCCCCGCCAAGCCAGTGGCCACGCACTCAGGCAACAGAAATCGCACAGGGGTGCAGGACTCCCACGGCTTCCTTCTCCAGGGGCCAGCGCCGATCTGATCATCAGTGGCCGACGCAGGCGAGAGTCCCAAAGAGAAACCCTGGGGAGCTGGCTCTTTCCTTGATGTAGCAAAGCCCAGTGTCCTGGGAAGGGACCACACACGGACACCCGCCCCCGCCCCGCCCCCCGGCTGTGACCTCCTGGAGCACTGGATGTACCTCAACAGTAATGTCACTGGGCTGCAAGCAAGGGGTGAGAAGTCCCCAGCCCCGGTTGGGGCTCCAAGCCTGGCAGTGACGGGCCGGACTCTACAGCCCTCCCTAGCCAGTTCCATAAACGTGCAGGATGTCAGAACTTCAAGGCAATATGTTTCAAATTAGGGGCTGCAATCCAATTGGATGAATCATGAACCCAATTTGGGTGATGGCTGGAACTTAAAAAAATCTTTTTTGATCGGCACTTTTTTAAGTGAAAGAATATAACCTATCCGTGCACTGCACAAAGTATTCGCTTACGAAAGTGTTGTTACGTATACAGAGTTGCACTGGATGGAAGTGTACGGGGTTGCAATGAAAGGCGTATTTCTAGCAAAATAAAAAAAAATCTATGCAAATCAAATTTCGAGGGACACTGTGGGGATCACTTCAGAAGCTGAAAGGCTAGAATTTGAAAGGGGAGAAGTCAAAGGGGAAGCCGATGGTTAGGCAGAAGAGAACACTGCCCTCTGGTGGATAGAAAAGGCAGTGACGGGTCATTGGCGCCAACAGGACCAGAGCCATAAGAAACCAATTAGGTGCTGTCTCCCACTGTTGGTAAGATTTCTTGCACAGCTTTGGTCTTTTTTTGTTTTTAATGTTTTATTTATTTTTTAGAGACAGAGACAGAGTAGGAGCATGGAGGGGCAGAGAGCGAGGGAGACACAGAATCTGAAGCAGGTTCCAGGCTCTGAGCTGTCAGCACAGAGCCCGACGTGGGGCTCAAACCCATGAACGTAAGATAATGAACTGAGCCAAAGTTGGACGCTTAACCACTGAGCCACCCAGGTGCCCCTAGGCTTGCTTTAAAAAAAAAAAAAAGCTTTATTTATTTATTTTTTTCATAGCAGCACCACGGTTCATGACAGCTTTGGAGGTGTCCCTTGAATTAACTGAAAGCATGAGTCCTGGATCACACCTGGCCTGAAACTCAACTTTAAAGCGTTGTGAGTTAAAGCGTTGTGATGTAAACAACTCAGTAGATCATTTAGGGGCAAACGGGCAGCTTTACTATATGCAAGTTCATCTCAATAAAGCTAACCAAAAATAAACAAATAGATCACTTTAGAATCATTTTTTAACTTTATTTTTAAGTTTATTTATTTATTTCTTTGAGAAAGACAGAGACAGTGCAAGTGGGGGAGGGGCAGAGAACAAGGGAGAGAGAGTCCCAAACAGGCTCCAAGCTGCCAGCGTAGAGCCTGACACAGAACTTGATTCACCAAACCATGAGATCATGACCTGAGCTAAAATCCAGAGTTGGACGCTTAACCAACTGAGCCACCCAGGCTCTGCAACAATCATTTTTTTAAAAGAGGCTGGAGTGTCTGTTTAATATCACTTCTTCTGGCAAACAAGCCTTCTTCTAGGGAACAAGGCTTCAACTGCCTTCCAAAGGCAAGAGACTTGTAAAGAAGCTCACAAAAATTCTAAGCCACTTCTTTTACCAGGTGACCCAATGGGTGATTCGGAAACATTTCCACGGCATGTATATGAAGGGGCAGGCGACTGGGGAAAGGAAAGCGCTGTTGGAAGCCTCCTTGTCTAGGGGAAGGGGCTCTGGAGGAGCAGAAGATGAGGTGGGTAAGAAATGACCTTAGCAGACAGCGGGCCCTGGGCTTGGTCCCGCTCAGTGGAGCACCATCCCTGCATTCAAATAGCCCCCGAATCCAGCCCCAATGTCTCCCCACCATCCATTTATAAATACGACCAACCCCCTCCTATGTGCTGAGGAATGACGGACAGAGCCACACAGATGTGGCCACGCCGACACGAGGCTTCCGTGCAGCACGGACAGACCCCGGAGTCAACATGGCGAGGCCCAGAGGGTAGGGTAAGGATGAGACGGTCACAGCACACACCTGAACTTGCACAGTGTTAGCACAATCATATCTCAATAAAGCCGGGGTCAGGATTCGAGTGGAATGCGGCGCAACGGCACGTAGCCAGGGGGTGGGGCACGGTGTCCCAGAGGAACACCCTGGCCACACATCAGGATCACCAGCACAAACTTCTGAAAACAGCAAAGTCAGGCCTCTCCCCCAGACATTCAGATTTTAATTGATCCTGGCCGGTGCCCGGTGCCCAGGTGATGTACTGCACGGCCAGGGCTGGGGACCACTGGCCTGAGCTGAGCCTTGGGATGCGGAGGAGCCGGGCAAGCGGGAGGACACAGGCCAAGGAGACAGCGTGTGGGACGCGGCGAACGGGGTCTGGGACCTCAGGGCAGCGCACGCAGGGAGCTGAAGATGGGCAGGGACAGACCAAATGTGCCCCGATGTCCACGTGCATGGGCCTGGGCTTTATGCCGAGAGCTACGGAGAGCAACTTATACAGAAGAGCGCATGAAAACACGGATTTAAATGCTTGGCACTCTGGCAGCATAAAGGAAGCAGAGTCATGGATCACAGCGATGAAGCGCGCAGAGGACAGGAGCCGGAAGTCGCAGGCCCAGGGGCAGGTGGCCAGCTGCAGGACAGAGGGGCTAACCCAAGAGGCTCCCGCTGGCCTCAGGGGGGAAAACTGGGGGCATTTAAAAGAACAAAGACTTAAAAGACCTATTATCTGGGGGGAAATAAAGACTGCATGGAAATTAACACCTGTGAGTTACACCTACGTGATTCCTCTGCTCAGCCTCGGTCTCTTAAAGAGGGAACAGGGGCACCTGGGTGGCTTAGTCGGTTAAGGGTCGACTTTTGCTCAGGTCATGATCTCGCGGTTCGTGGGTTCGAGCCCCGCGTCGGGCTCTGTGCTAACTGCCAGCTCGGAGCCTGGAGCCTGTTTCAGAGTCTGTGACTCCCTCTCTCTCTGACCCTGCCCTGCTCACGCTGTCCCTCTCTTTCTCTCCTAGAAATAAAAAAAAATTTTTAAAAATTAAAAAAAAAAAGAGGGAGACTGATGGATGTGGGGGGGAGGGGGGATGGGCATGGAGGAGGGCACTTTGGGGATGAGCACTGAGTGTTATGTGGAAACTAATTTGACAATAAACTATTTGTAAAAAAAAAAAAAAAAGAGAGGGAACAAGCAGACATTACGTCCCTCGTGTTGTCATTTAACAGGACACACCCAGCCCCACCCAGAAGGAGTCCTCATTACTGAACTTGAACCTCAGCTGAACCTTAATCTAATGATAACACAAGGAAGCAAAATATGACAAATACAAAATGTGGGACAGTGATAAGAAGCCCAGTGATAAATGATAAAAGCCCAATATAGGGTTGCTCAAACAGACTGATGGTATTAAAATCAAACAAAATAAAGAGAGTACTGTTAGAAAACAAGAGAACTTAAGAGCCCTAATAACCTAATGCAACAGAAGAATCTGGTTTGGATCCTGATTCTAATGAACTGCCAAAAAAAAAAAAATCCGATGTTAAGACGGGGAAAATCAAATTAAAATTTTTTTAAATTTTTATTTATTTTTGAGAGATAGAGAGAGAGTTAAGACAAAGAGAGACAGAGCATGAGCAGGGGAGGGGCAGAGAGAGAGAGGGAGACACAGAACTCAAAGCAGGCTCCAGGCTCCGAGCTGTCAGCACGGAACCCGATGCGGGGCTCAAACTCACAGCCTGTGAGATCATGACCTGAGCCGAAGTCAGATGCCCAACTGCCTGAGCCACTCAGGTGGCCCCTAGATATATCCAGAAGTATTTATGGGTGGAATGACAGCCCGTGAGGTTACTACAGATGGAAAAGAAAAAGAGCAAACAAAAAAAGCAGAGGACACAGAGAGCAAGGCTGATCCTTATGAAAGCTGGGTATGGATACATAGGTACTCTCTCTCTTTGTCCCTGTGTGTGCCTGTTTTAATTGCAACACTGCTTTAAATCAAATGGACCTCAGGGGTGCCTGGGGGGCTCATTCAATTAAGCATCCAACTCTTGGTTTTGGTTCAGGCCATGATCTCAAGGTTCATGGGTTCAAGCCCCACATCGGGGGCTCTGTGCTGGCAGTGTGGAGCCTACTTGAGATTCTTTCTCTCTCCCTCTCTCTGCTCCTCCCAGCTTGCAATCTCTCTCTCAAAATAAGTTTTTAAGAACCTGCACTTCAACATAAAGGCTTTTTCTTGGTTATAAGAAAAACAAAAGCATGGTTCATGAGAAGACTTGTGACAAATGTTCATAGCAGATTTGTCCATAATTGTGCAACCCTGGAAGTAAGCAGATATCCATCAAGAGGAGAAACGATGGGCAAACTTTTGTGTGTTCACATGATGGACACAGCAGTAAAACAGAGCTATTGGTGCTTCCAATAACATGGATAAATCTTAAATAGGTCATGCTCAGTGAAAGAAGCCTGACACAAAACGTTCACACTGTAGGAACCCATGTATATGAAGCTCTAGGACAGGCAATCTTTTTTTTTTTTTTTTTTTTTTACAAATAGTTTGTCAGATTGGTTTCCACATAACACCCAGTGCTCATCCCCACAAGTGTCCTCCTCCATGCCCCTCCCCCCTCCCCCCCCACATCCATCAGTCCTCAGTTTTTGTCAGCATTCAAGAGTCTCTCATGGTTTGCCTCTCTCCCTCTCCCCCACCATTTACCCCCTTCTTCTCCCCCTTGTTCTTCAGTTAAGTTC